TATATATATATATATATATATATATATATATATATAACAAACAACACAACCTAACCTCAGGAAGGGCAGCAGAAGGTCGTTCGCTTCCTACCAAAAGAATATCACCAAAAGCATGCATACACCAATTACCCCGCCTAATATGAGGGCCTCCCTGCGCCGCCTACTGTCAATGCGGCCTAGCACCTTCTTGATTAAAGGAACCCGCAGAGCAATCTGCATAGCACGATCCTCCATGCGTGTAAAAGCATCCCGTTGCCCACGCAACTGTTCCCGTGATGTATCGACCTGAGTCAGTATAGTATTCAATCGTCGCTGGGTGTGGCGCAGAGACTCCTGCTCTTCTATGAGAAACCGTACCCCCTCTCCCTCCCTATGCGTCTCTAGATCATTCGTGACGCTTGGCATCAACTCCACCCACTCACGGCGACGTTTAAAGTCTGCCACAAGGCGCGCCACAGTGCGCCGCTTATCTGCCGCAAGCTGCAGAAAACGTTCGGTGTGGCTTTGTGCCGTAGACTCAAGTGGCAACGCGCGGGCGGTATCTGCCATTGTCTCTAAGAGGGATTCAAAGCGTTGAAGTGACGTTTCAACTTCATTGCGCTGCCGGTCAAACTCCCGCTGCGCCATTTCTATCTGCGCCGCCGATGACGCAGCCCCATCACTCATCCCCTTAAACTCATAACTGATAGTGTTGTCGCCGAAGCGAGAAATGCCTTCCAGCGCATTGAGTTGCCGTTCAATGACCCTGTCAGCCTGACGGGCATCATTCCGCAGGGATTCCCAGGCGCGCAGCCTGCTCTCCATGGACGCCACCCCTTACACACGTGCTGGTTTTTTGTGTTCCGCCCTGTGCACCCCCACCCCCCGTTTTACTTTGCGCCTGTGGGGCTTTTTTTTTACTTTATCTGTGTTTTCTTTTTTCCTTTTCCTTTTCCTTTTCCTTTCCCCTACTCCTTCTCTATTCGTGATATCCACCAGACCTCCTCCAACACTGCCTGCAAAAAAAAAAAAAAAAAGAACAATGATGACGGTGGAGTGATACAACAAACAAAAAACCTGAAGCAGAAAGTGGTGCAAAAACAAATGGATAAACTCTCTCAAGTGTGAGAAAACAATAATAATAATAAACGTCACTCCCCTCCGAAGGGACTCTGCAAAAAATCCTGTACACACATGTACAGAGAACCATGCATACATGCCTTTTCCGGTGTCCATATCGCATCCAAAAATGACATATACTACACCTGCTTGTACAGATGGCGGGGGTGAGGGAGAAGCACACTTGCACGCTCCACTCATGCATCCCCTACTTTGTCTTTCCGCACCTACTTCAACAGGTAAGCAAGCCAAAAAAAAAGACAGATATCACACGTGCCTTTTCTTGTTTTGCGTGTGGGTGTGCGCCTCCAGCATGATTGTGTCACTCACAGTTTTCCACAGGTTGCCCTCACCGTCTCCTCACAAAAGAGCTGCAGGTACAGTGGCACGCTAAAATCGTGATCCAACAGCCGCAAACGATGATTCTCAAGGAAGGTAATCACATGCGCCATCTTGGCAGAGTCTGTCACTGCGTCATACGAGCCAAGAGAACGCAAGTCCACCACCAATTTTTTGGTGTCCTCCAGCACTTCTGTAGCGTGGGCAATACAAATCTCGTTGAAGGAAGCGCTACGTATCAATTTGTAGAAGAAACTTGCCGACTGCTCCCGAGCCAACTGTTCACGACGCTGCTCCTGCTCACGGGCTGCACGAGCCTCTGGATCCTCCTCATGTAGCGGGCCGAAGAAACTTTCCAGAGCGGCGCGATCCTGCTTCATTCGCATTGACGCAGAGGAACCATCCGGCAACACGGCGGTCGATCCTGCCGGGTACTTGAAGACATCATTGTCAACATCTGAATCGGCTGACCCCGCGTCCGTGACCTTGGTTTCACCGTTGCTCGTCCCTAGCGACTCCATTTCCCCTCGTGATGACAGTAACGGCGACGATGCAGACAACGGTGGTGTGAGCCAATTCGACCACACCAAACAGGATTCAAAGTCCTCACTCAATTCATCCAGCAATTCCCGCATATCCCTTCCTGTTACCCTGCCAGTTACACTAAACACTTGTGGGGCACGACGATTCAGTGCAGTCCTGACCACCTGTAGGGAGGCCTCCACCACGCGAGGAATGGCCATCTTCAAGAGTGTCTCTACAGAGAGGCAATGCAAGAGATCCTCTGACATTACCATGTCCTCATTCACTGCCTGCGCAAAGGGAGACGACTCAAACTGTTGCCGTAAACGTTCAATAACGGTTTCCATAATAAGGTTCTGAGTGCCACCTGACCACCAGGAACGAAGTTTTGAGACCACTGTTCCACCGCGGTGCGCCTCTCGCTTCCTCAAGACATACACCAACACCAATGTCATATTTTTAATAACATGAAGTGTAATGTTTAAGCTATGGATATGTGCAGCACATAAAATACTAGCAAGTGACAAAGTAAACAGCTCCGAGAGAGCCTTAAGCTTTGCCTCACTTCCAACAGCAAGTCGTATTTGCTCCTTTACGGCGTTGATCTGAAGTCCATTAAGAATGATTTTCTTCGCGAGACGCTGGTTGGCCCGGGAGGTTATGATGCCTCGGTCATATCCCTGTGTCAGATACGCGTCAATGGCGTACTGGACGTCATCGCGGCGAAAGAGCGTCGAACCGCTCTCCTGAAAGGCCAAATAACCCACAGCAGTCATTGCCAGAAGCACCTTTCCCACAAACTTTGCCTCATCCTCAAAGAGATCGGTAAAAAACTCAGTTTCACCCATATTTTTTTATATTATATATTTTTCTTTACTTCCTTTATTTTTCTCCTGCTACCTTTCTTATGTGGGTTTTGGCCCCTGAACAATTATTACTATTGAAGCTTCTATTGCTTGCACTGCTAACACCCACACCCTAGTGTCGTTTTGCCTGTTACCAGCCCTTTTATCCGTCAGCGCTTGTAGTGCTTGTCGTGTACAAATGATCTTGTGTGCGTGTGTATCTTCACAATGATCCCCACCACTATTTTTTTTTTTAGTTTTTGTCCTCTGTTTTGTTTGGTGGTTGTAAGCCCCGGTTTCAGCTGCGATGTGTTTTGCGCCCCAAACCAACGTAATGAGGACAAAGAAAAAAAGAAGAAAAAAGAAAGAAAGCACTGTTGGTGCCAACTTCGACGACACAGATGCGCCGGGAGAAATGGAGGTGAAGAAAAGTGAGAGAAAAACAAGTGTAGGAGAGTGATGGGTGCAGAGCCACATGCATTGACGCACGCGATAGAAGAGATACCGAGATAAAGAAAGAAAGGTAGGGAGGGAGAGAAACGTACCCCGTCTAGAACGCAGCCGCGCAAGAAAGAAAACAAATAAAAATAAAAACGAGCAACAACGTGGAAGGGTTATGTCATATCAACTCAAACACCTCAACTTGATGTCGAATATTTGCATTGTGACAGCGCCACTCTGCAGGTTGCCTGCAACGGCATCTGAGGGGAGGGGATGCCGTCGTATCTCCGCCTCATCCTCAACCTCAATCGTCATTATGCCAGTCGCCTCCTCGAGCGAGACTTTGTGTGTCCGCTGCACCACTGGTCCGCGTGTCAGCCGCACACGGCCCCCAGACGCCTCCCAATGGGGCCGCAAGGGGTACGACGGCACCTTAAACTTTTCCTCGTCCTCTGTAGCCACAGTGACGACGGGAGAGATGGGCTGCACCTCTACAAGCTCGCCCGTTTCAATCGCCACAAGAACGTTGTGCCACGGACAGCGTAGACACACCACGGAGGAGGCCATATGGGCATCCTCCACATCCATCAGCTCCCCCTCACCTAACGGGCCAGACGCGTGATAACATGGGCTATCAATAGCGTACAACTTCCCGTTATGCAGCAGAACAGTCACAAACCGGTGGGGATCCTCCAAGAGAAAATGTGCGCGGTTTCTCTGCTGCCGAAGACGTTCGTAAGACCAGCCATCGTACATGTTTTCTCGCACCATGCGTATTAAGTTGTCGTCGTTTGGTTCTTCTCGGTCGCAAGATCGATTAAAACCCTCTTCCCACCCCACAAAAACAAAATGGGCTCAGTCAAAAAAAAAAAAAAACAGCGCTACAAACGCGTTCTTGTTGTTGTTTACCCCACCAACTCAATAATAGTGAGAGTCTGCGAAAGAGATAGTGCGGAATCGTAAATATGGAGCGGCACCATCTACGTAGAGACAGGCACATTTACAGTGGTGGCCACGCGATGGTGGGAGTGCATGAAGTGCGGCGGAGACAACGTCACCACATCACACTCTTTCTTTATTTCCTTCCTTCCTTCCTGACAGGAACACAATGCAGGAACGCAAGGGAGGGAATTGCCGGAGAGTGGGGATAAAAACAAAAGCAAATATGTAACAAAGTGCAGCGTCAAACAAACTTTACAAAAAAAAAAATTACGCTCCAGTGCACACAAACGCACAATAATAGACAGAGGCATGTCTCTGTATAACAATTCAATCACGTGCATGCATCGTTCCCCTCCCTCCTCATATGTATATAACTTGTAAGACTTCAGTACTTTCTTCTCCTTTTCTTTTTGTTCTTGTGTGTGTGTTTTTTTTATCCTTCTCAAATTTCATCTTCACCTCTTTAAATCAATGCCTGCACGAGTTAAACCGTTTACGACCTTGGCAGTGCATCCTTAAACAAACTGGCCACAACAGCCATAATTAGGCGGAAATGTTACAGCCCCAAGTACGCAAAAAGAACTTGTTTTCCGCGTTTTGCTCTTATCAAGAGGGGAAGAAAGAACGCGGTGGGGGCAAAGGCAGCAACGTCAAGTCCACATGTAGGATGCTCACCGCAGACTCGGATGCGTACTTGGAAAAGAGTTATCAACCCCCACCCACGCAGGGGCTGCAGTCATGGAAGCAGAGACAGAGGCGTCCCTGCGGGGGTCGGTAAAGATGGCACCGAGACCGCCGCTGCCAAACTTCACAAGTGAGTCTCGTGTCATGGCGTCGAGAAGCAAGGCAGAGTGGCGAAAGAGTGCCAACAAATCCGGCAGTCGGAATGAACCAGAGCTGAGGTCCGCTTTTCCTCGAACCAGCGCGGTCCCACTGTGAGCTGCGGGCGGTGCCTCACCGGACGGAGCGTCCGTGTCTGCAGCAAATGCATCATGCACGCCGTATCCATTCAAAAACACATCTGATGAGGCGTAACGCCAGAAATTCAGCAGCCTTCGTGCCGTTAAATGACATGCAGGCGATGCTGTTGTCTCATGTCCTACGTCCTCCTCTAAAAAACGACGTACAAGCATGTAGAGAGCTGTCGCGGAGAGCCCTCCGTGAAATAATGAATTTAACCCCCACTGCTTAAGAGCCGCCTTCGTGATGAGAATGAGTTCGCGCGCTTCTGCGCAGCTGGACAACCACTCCCGCTGCCGCGACACCACCTGCTGCACAGCCTTAATTTCAGATACGTTGATGTCGCATGAAAGTCCAGTAAAGGAGTCAACAAAATGGACAACGGGTACGCGACAGAAATCGTATACATTTACACGAAATCCCATCGCTGTGAGGCGTTGGGCGAGTTGATGTCGAAGACGCATGTGTTGCGTCTGCACCTCCATTGCATCATCGTTATAGGCAACTGATGCAGCTGGTTTATCGTCATCATCAAAGAGGACGGTGAGATCAACATCTGAGGATGGAATAGAAAGATCCAGGGCGTAGCTGCCATAAACAAAGACATGCGCTACAGAGCCCCAAAGCTCCGTCACAACACGGCGTACTGTTGCAATCAACTCCTCTCGCCGAAGTTTCTCCCCAGCGTTGAGCGCAACATACGACACAAACTCCTGTATTTCCATTGTAAGACTCTCCTCCGTCGGTGAATATGACTTCTCTCTGCGCCACGCAGGGGACGCGCTGCATCGCTGCAGCTCACTACGCCGTTCCGTCGTTCTCAATGGTTGCAAACAAGGCTGGAAATATGGCGGTGGATGTCCACCCTTCCGTCTGTGCATCATCATCACTGGCGTTGTTGCCGTTGTTGCCTTCGCTGCCCCTACAATCCGCTGGTGGTGATCACCCTCCTGACGAGAGGCCGTTCCAACGCCGTTGACCATTGAGTCTCCACCTATCTATCTTTCTGACAAGCAAATAAAAGACATAGAGTATATATAGCAATTTTCCTGTGCCTGGGTGAGTTGCTAACCACAGCGCTTTTCCACCCTCCTGAGCTCATGGGCAGCTGAGTATTCTTTTTTGTTTGTGGTTGGGGGTGGATGGGTGTGACGTCGATGGCATCCTGGATGCGCCAAATATTTGGGAAGTGAAATAAGTTGTGTTGAGTTTCAAAAGGAACAACGCGTCCAAACCATAGACGGGAGGGACCTCAACCGTGAGATAACACAGCTCCGCACGCAAACACACACACACACATCGTGGCAACGTTTTGAGCGTCACACTGTGCGCCGCTGCCCCCCACCCCCCCCTCCCCGAGTGGTGTGTCACAATCCCTCAGCGTGCGATGGCCTCGCGTTGAGAGGTGCAAATGCAACACACGCGCGAGCACACAAACAAATATTGCCCTTCCCTTCATTCCTTTCGCCGTGTAATTTCAAGGTTTGCTTTTGTGTTTTTTTTTCTTTTCAGATTTCCTCATCCCTCTGTTTATTCCCCCTTTTTTGTCCACTTGCTTTCTTATCATCCTCTGCCTTTTCACTTCAATTCTTTCCGTTCCTTTTTCGTTTTTATTCGTTACTTGCATTGCCCCGACCTCCACCCACACCAACGGCTCTGGTGGGTGCCTCGTGCTGCTAGCCGCCTTTCTTCTCTTCTGCGGATGCAGCCGCGGGAGTTGCCGGCCGTCGCGCAAGGATCTCCACGTCCCAGTGCTCGTTACTAAAGACGTCAATCTCCGTGGCAATGCGCATCGCCTTACGAGCGATTTTCTCCGCATCGTAGCCGTCAACGTCAATTAACGCCCGTGCCGCTGCCTTGGCGAATGTGCCCCCTGATCCAATCGCCACGATTCCATCGCTCTCTGGCGTGATGACGTTTCCTTGGCCGTCAATCTCCAAAGTCTCCTCGCGGCTGCAGACAATCAGAGAAGCCTCCAGGCGGCGCAGCGCGCGATCGGTGCGCCAGTCCTTCGCCAACTCCACCGCGGCACGGGTAAGTTGGTTCGGAAACTCGCCAACTTTGTTCTCAAGTTTTTCCATCAAAGCAATGGCATCCGCGGTGCTACCAGCAAAGCCAATCACAACATCATCATTGATTTTTCGCAGCTTGCAGGCACTGGACTTTGCCACAATACGCTCGCCGAGGGTCACCTGGCGGTCACCAATAAGCACGACTGTGTCGCCCTTCCGCACAGAGAGAATAGTCGTGTGGCGGGACTGACATGCCGCAATGAATGAGGTATTTCGAGCAATCCGACGAAACATGTTCCTGCTGCCGCTGCCGCTTCAGATGCTACGAGAAATAACACACGATAATGTTGAGGACGCAGGTCAATGAGAGAAAATAAAAAAAAACGCCAAAATGAATTTTAAAAGCAAGAGACCAACATAAAATAACAGATGCACTTCCGGAGCCAATGAGGATGCCACCTCCCAGTTAGAGGTGCCGGCCTGCCTGTTTCTCCGCGTGTTTGTGGAGCTAACTCAGGAGGAGAAAAAGAAGGGAAAGGGAAATAAGATTAAAGAGACCTTGGCACCAAAAAAAAAAAGCCGCTCTTCCCCACACTCCCACGTGAAGCCCGAGGTGTTGAACGCTCTGGCAAGACACACACACACACAGGCAAAAACAACAACACAGCATGATTGGCCCCAACTTTCAAGAACGGTACCGCCATCATGGTTCTTCTTTTTTTTTTTTTTAGTTGTTCTCTTGTCCCTTCCCTCCCCCCTTTTTTTTCTCCTTTTTATTGCCATTTATTTACACGCCTCACCCAATGAGATACAAGCCGCATCATCACCGCTCCTTTCCCTCCTCATCTCCATTTTGACCTCCCAAGGGCAGGAGACGGTGTTCTTCTGCTTCTGTAGCAGCAGCGAGAGGTGCAGCACGGTGTGTCAGTCAAGTGGCACCGTGAACAGCTTGAAAAAGGGATGTGTCTCCAAGAACGTGTACAAGTGCTCCCAGAAAACAGAAGCTTGAAGAATGTGTGCATGCGATTTAACAACGCGACGCGTCAGCGGAAGTGGCTTGACGTGCCACTGCTGCAATGCCGTGGGCAGCTTCTCTTCCTCAAGATAGGGTAAGAAACCACAGACTCGCTGGAAGAGTTCACTTACGGGTATGGGAACAGTTTCGTTAGGAAACCACCCACGGAACTGCCATTCGTGACCATCCACAATGCAGGCACACACATGCTGCCAATTTTTTACCTGTTTGGGGTCATCCACTACACGAAACATTTTGTACGCCACGGTGTATTTGTCAGCATCCAAGAAGCTGCCTGGGGTCACAATGACAGTGTCCGGTTTGTTTTCCTGCACATTCACAGCTCCTGTCTCGGCATCCACAAACTGCGTGGGTGGGTCAATGTAGATCCCGCGCTCCAAAAACTCTCGAATGTTAAAGAGCTGCAACAACGATGAAACGGAGGCAGGAACAAGGATGACAGGAATAAAATCGGGCTGACGGTGCTTCTGGGAGTAGTACTCTGGCAACAAAAATCCAGAGGCAAGACGAGAGGCGCTGCCGAGTGATCGGGCAACACCAGACCCCGCTGCGGCATTGGCGACCACCGAGGATACACTGTTGCGATTCCCTTTTGCATCTGTCACCGCCCCCGCCGTCGCATGTCTGCGGTAAGCCTCAAAGAAATTCGGCCCCCCCGACATCAATGCGAGTGGCTTCTCGTCATTGCCGCTGCCATTGCGCTTGTTACCCTTGTTGTTCCCCAGTTCGTCGTTGTTGTTACTGCCGCTCACCTCCGGGTTAACGAGTGAGGAGGCAAAGGCGCCTTGCGAACTCACTGCCGGTGCTGCACGATACCCCTCTTCAGGCGTCATTTGCGGGTGAAAGAGGGCACGCGACTCCACATCAAACTCAGCAGCAGCCGCGCGGATATGCTGCAGCACCGCCTCTGGTATTTCGCGTCCGCCCGGCAGGTACTCTACTGGGGTGTATTCTCGTGGCAGCGGATCGGTGCTGTTGATGCCAGCTACCTCCTCCACAAGGCGACACCACTCGTCTCGTAGAGACATGACTGAGAGGAAGCAAGCGAGATAAAAAGAAAGAAAGAGAGAGTAATAATAATAATAGCAATAATAATAATAATGATTCAAAGCAAAAAATGAAAAGAAAAAAAAATGAAAAAAAAAAAAATAAGCTGAATGATTACAATTCATAAATACACATTCACCTGCACCCACACACCCGTAAAGGAAGATGCGAGTTCTAACAACGAGAGCAATTTCCCTCCTCAGCCTCACCTGTCCCCGCTGGCACCTCTTGCGTTCCCCCATCCTCGTGGATCTGGTGGTGGTGGTGGTGTGAGGATTTCAGAAAAGCAGCAGTGGTTACATGCACACACTCTCTTCCTCTATCCCCGTTTCGCTTCCACACCTAGGCAAATAAAATAATATTTACAATATGGAATCAAGTTCTGTTATTGGAGAGAAAGTGGCCCGTAGTGGCCACATGTGCCACCGTCTCCTCCACTACATCAGGCTCCTTCACTGCTAGAATGCCATCAAAACCCAACAGTCTCTACAGTGGGGGACCGTTCGCCCAACGGAAGTCCGGCGCATACACCGAGACCGCCCATGCCAGTGCCACGACAAGCAGGACAAACAGAACCCGGATAAACATCGCGCGACTGCAGCAATGCAGCTTATCATCTTCAAGTTCCTCAAGAATTTCGGCTCGGAGTTGTTGCTTCCTTCTTACTCGTAGCAAATTCCTTGTCTCACTGTGATAGTCCGATACTTCAATGGGACTCATGCGGGAGCGCAGTGCAATGGCCTTCCCAGCCTTTCCATCGTTTTTCGATCCAATACTATGTGACGGAATGGACACCTTGGAAACTTCATCGAAGTTCGTCCTTGGCATCCGCAGTATGCAGTGAGGTGCCAAAGCTGTGCGGCTGATCGTTGCTTTGCTATGGTCACTGCCTTTGTTTTGTTTTCAATTTTCCCACAGTAACTCGCTTTTCACCGCCACCTTCCTCGTTCCTGGAAGCAGACTCATCGCAAGCGAGACGAAAAAGAGGACGTGGCGGAGTAGCAGGGCACACAACGAGCCACACCTCACAGGGATTCAAGCACTTAGTTCTGCTGTGGGCCCTGCGAGACAGACGGGCGTACAGACTGAGAGAGAGCTGCTGTTGTGAGCAGAAGCATCTACGCACACGCGCAAATAAACACAGTAGAGAGAGAAAAATTATTTTAAAAAAAGGGGGAGAAGGTTGTAGATGCATAGCGCGCCATTCAACCATGAATTATCTGCGCAGTGTCATGCCCCGTGGCGTGGGAGAAGCATCATACAACATTTTTCGCTAACGATTTACATCTTTGGAATGACCAGCCTTCTCCCACAGTCTATTGACCATGGAATATGTTATGTACACAATAGTTGCAGCTCAAACCAGAAATAAAAAACAAAAACAAAAAAAGAAATAAATAAATGTGATGGGTCAAAACATCCATCATAACACAGCAAAAGGGAATATAAATACATCACTCCCCCATAGAGTCAAGCGCAAAATCCGCGTCTTCCTAAGAAGAGAGAGGCAATAACCGAATGAACCTACGTGACTGATGAACAGAAACCGCGCGATTCGGCAGAGTGATGGACGGAGTTCCCATTCGTAATTTTGATTTTTTCCTTTTAGTAGGAGACTTTACATCCTCGGGCACCGGGGCTCCAACGTCCAGTACACGGAAACGAACCACCAGCGAAGAAACCACACGGGAAAGCCCCATCCATACTCGTCTCCGTTTCGCCTCCCGATTGTGGTACTCCACAAATTCCCGTAACGAAAATGAAGACATAAAGGCCTCCATGGGTGGAACTAAGTGCGCCTTCCGATCCACGCGTCTTCGCCTTTCCTCATCCACAGTGTTCGCCTCCTGCTTTGACGTCTCCGCATGCGTCACCAAGGAAGCATGCGAGATGGAAGGTTCCGTCCCTCCACCTTCACTGCTACCACACGCAACACTGCTCTCCTCGCTACTGCCACCGTTATCACTGTCCTCGTCCTCCTGATCATCAAGTCCCAAATATAACTCCAAATCTGAGATTGTATCCGCCAGTCGCTCCATATCTTTGCAAGCTTTCTCATCCATCGCCTCCTCAGGTTTTTTACGAATGTACTCTCCGCGACACTGACGTGAGCGCTGATGCTTTTTGAATGGTCGTATTGTTTGAAACCACGTACGTCCGACTAATTCTCCGCCCTGTACGTGTACGTGTACTTTCTTTTTCCGTCGCCGCTGGCTCATTCACCACGGAACGTGGCATCAGGAAGTAATTCCGAAGCGTGCCCTCCTCCTGGCAGCGCAAGGTGGCGTCCACGTCACGCTCCAAAATTGCAGGTCCACCGCAGGCAAGACGTGCATACCCGACAAAGAGGGAAGCGAGGACCCACAAGATGGCAGAGGGATGTGGAGCCTGACAGAAGACTGCAGGGGTGAAGAAGCTTTCCAGGAAGGTGCAGCAAGAGAGCAGTGGGGGATAGAGCCCCTCCATACTTTGCAGGTAAAGCAAACGTCTCAGCTCCGTGAAAAGCACACCATTTGCTGTTTCCACGGAGAAACTCGCGTCATTGCGCATCTTCGACAGTTCCTCTGCCTCCTCCTGCCTCGCCGCCAAGAAGGGATATGACACATTGTGTACCCCACTTCCAAGATACACTGATTCCAGCACACGCACAAGCTGCAGCAAGGCTTCAGGACCAAAATCCCCACTCTCGAAGCCTGTATCAATCTTTACAACACGACGCCAGTGAACACCAGGCATAGCGGCCTTCATAAAACAATTTACCCATTCAAGCAGAAAACATTCAAGGGCATAACGTGCCTCTTTCCCCTGATTATGCACCGCATGTGTACGCAAGGCACATTGCTCCTCGGCACGCCGCAAAGCAATACCCGCCTTTCGCAAGGATGACGGAACCACCGCACATTTTACGCGGCACGAAAACGTCTTTGCAAGACGTTCCCAGCGTTTTCCATACTTTTTCGCCATTAAAATGTTAGTGTGCTGCTGTTGAAGCTCATTATCTATCGCACGCAGTGCAATCACGTGACCTTCTGCCAACTGTGACTTCAAAACCTCCTTCTTCATTTTAAGAATGTCATTTAACTTTTGCTCCTCCTTGAGACGCTCCAAAAGCGTAGCTACTTCCTTTGTGTTAGAGCTCTGCAAAAAAGCCTGTCGCACCTCTGACTCCTTCACCATTTTCAGCAGCTCCACCACCTGTGAGTGGGCTGAAACGCGCCGCCAGCGTAAGAAACATCCCTCCACACGAATACGCTGCCGCATACGCGTAAAGTACGCCGTCGCGGAGTCACGAAAACACCGCTCCCGACGTGTTGTTTTCCGCCATGCACGAAAGACGTTCCCCAAAAGCATTTTATCAACCCGCCGCTGCGCAAAACGAAGAATGAGTTGACTCTTGTGCACCACGCCCTTCAAATCCTCAATCCGGTGAGCTAGCCGAGCGGTTTCGGCACGGCTTGCAAGGAACGCACCGGCCCACAAGTGTAGCATCTCGAAGGGCTGACGCCCCTCAAAACGGGGATAGGATGACCCTACACCACCCTCACACCCAGACGCAGGCGGAGAGGTCGGTGGCTGAAAAACAGCTTTAAATATCACTTCACGAAGTTGTGGCCATATCCTTGACAGTTTTGGCTCACGAGTGAGAACTTCATTGAGTAAATAACACGCCACACCCACAAGAAGACGACCGTTAGGTTCATTTTGATCTCTGCGTTCCCGCAGAGAACGCGGCCCTAACGCAGTAAGCAACACTTCCTGGAGGCTCGTTTCAGCCCAAAGTGTCGGACATTGAAAGCCAGAATCCTCAAACGGGAGCGGAAAGCCTCGCAGCGGTGCACCCTTTTCCCCGCAAGGGGCGCCATGAACCTGCGGAGCTGTCAGTTCCTCTGTGGCACCTCGCATTTTGCTGTCACTGCTCACGTATGAAATGGGAACCTTTTTTCCTCCAGCAGGAAAAGACGAGATTGCCTGTGGTAACATTGCTGCCTCACGCGTTACACATTTTTCACCTCCTTGCTGAGGCGGTCGAGGAAGTGAGGAAGGACATTCCGTAAAAACAGGTGGGTCAAGTACGCACGGCGGCACGATGCCTTCAACGCCGTCCAACAACTCCTCCATGCATTGGTCCACGCGTAAACGTACAACTGCACGCTCTCGGCCAAACGCCAGCTGCCGCCGCCGCTGCCTTTGCAAAAGGGCAGCTGTGGCTCCATCCATTTCCTTCCGGAGTTGCGCCTCCGCTCGGCCAACACTGCTCAAAACAGGATCCGTGCCCGCCAACTTCTGCTCATGGCGGTTGTGAAGTCCTGACGATCGCATCTCGCTACAGTTACCCTTCACACACGCACCACCACCCTATCGTTTAAGTTGCGTGCTGAACACGTAATGGCTCCACAACACGCGGAGCTAAAGCGAAAGCGAAAGAAAATCCAAGAAAAAAAAATAATAAGCCAAAGCCTGTCTGATGGTGTCAATTTCGTGGTGCGCAAAACAGACAAACAAAAAGGCACACAATAGAAAAAATGCATCCAAAACATAACAAAAAGGGAGAATATTTGCCAGTATGATGCCGTCGCCTCTATTCTTGTAGAGAGAAGAGCACAGCAGCGGGGGATGCCCCCGTTGGGTTCGGCGTACCCCCAACAATTCCCACCCTTGCAGAGGAGACGCAAAGCGCACACCGAGAAAAAAAACGCATACGAAAGGGAGACGAGCACGCTAACGAGGCTCTCCTTCTAAGCCAGCAAAGCGGTAGTCGTTTGGGTCCACTGCAATCGCCAAACTCTTCCGCGCGGAGTGTAATAATGTAGGCGAGGGCAAGAAGGTAAAAGCAACGACAAAAACGGCAAAAGAAATAGTACTCATAATCTGCGCCATCCGAGCCTGCCCTCATCCTCAAAAAAAAAAAAACGCGTATGCAAACCGCCCGTTGTACTACCTCAATGAGAGAAATTCTTTTATCAGCGCCAGCCTCCTCTGTTTATTATTATTTCTTGTTACCATGTGGTTGCTGCTGCTGATGCTTTGTGGTGGTGATCGTGCAAGGGGGGACTCCCTTCAGAGCGCTAAAAATGGATTGCGCAAGAGGCTAATAGCCAATCATTTACCATCCATTGATGCATTGGTGGAAAACTACACCATAAACAACATCTTGAGCGAACAAAAACCCCTTCTACTTCTTGTCGCCTACGCGGGCTCCCGGTAGCAAAAGGCCGGGTACACTTTCATGCACACAAGCTTCCCGGTAATCTTTGTCAAAGGTGGCTGATTTTCCACCAGACGATACAAAACCCTCTCGTAATGCATCGCCATTACATCGCTATCAAACAATTTCATGGCACGTTCGCGGGCCCGACGCGCCGTCGCCGCCGCTTCATCAGGATGAAGCATGTAGTAAAGAATCTCACGCGCCAACCCAATCACATCGCCAACAGTAAACAGACGACCGTAAGCAGCACACGGTACCACTGACAGTGCGCCGCCAAGGTCCGTCACAACAAGTGGCACGCCGGACAGGGCTGCCTCAATCATCACGGTGTTCAGGCCGTGGTGCTGATAGAAGGGATCCACAAAGACATCAATTGCCTGATAGAAGGTCCCAAGTTGCTTTTGAGGGAGCATTCCCAGTTGAACGACGGGTAGCCCCTCCCTCCGCATGGCTTCGTAAACGTTAGCCATTGGACCTTCGCCGCTAACAAGAAGTGTCACATTTTTGTACTCTTGCATCACACGGCGCATCGCCCGAGAAAGTTGCAAATGCCCTTTTATTTCAACCAGTCGTCCACCACATCCCACGACATAATTTTCAGAAGGAACTCCATGGGCTCGAAGGAATGCGTCACGCACAGCCCTTTCCTTGCGTGGATGAAAAATTTGTGTATTGACACCATTATAAATCAATGCGACTTGTTCCCGAGCCACGTGTTGCACCTTCACCAAATCACGCTCCGCTGCATCTGAAATGACGATATGTTGAGGAACCGTGAGAAGCATGTACTCCTCCAGCGCCACAGCCTTGGCAAGATCCTGCATCCGACTCCACACCGCCGCTCCAGGTGCTTTGCGCCGCAGCCGATAGTTGTGTGCAATATAATTTAACTCATTACGAAACCAGTCAAGCATTGATCCATGCCACGTTACAGCAAATGGAATTTGTATTTGGTAAATGTTGGGTACAGCCGCCCAACTTTCACTGTGGACGATGTTAAAAGGCCGCTCGGCGTGCAGAACGCCAAATGCTTCAAGAGAATTATTTAACCATGCCACACTATACGCCTTGTTGGTGGTGGAAGGAACTTGCTCCACTACCAAACGCGCCTCTGAACTTCTGCACTGCACTGCTGCATGCGTCTCTGGCTCGATACAGTACATCGTCTTACGTGAATGATTTACAGGGGGACCAGTCACAAAGACATGAACGTAATGACCTCGTGAAGCAAGTTGGGAGTAAATGTGAAAGGCATGAAGTTGCATACCGCCTGTCCCGTGAATGGGCGGTATCCATAAACGCGAGAAGGCGGCGATGCGCAGCGGGCCACGCTCTTTGCGCATCTTTGTGGCAGTAGACGCTTCTTCTGCGTAGCGAGTATACTTTTCCACCACACGCAAAATACATGCATCCTTGTCATTGGCCCCACTGATACCTAGAGGTTGGGGCGGTTGCGTCGCCGCAGAACTGGCTGGTTGAGCCAGCCCAGGACCACTGCCATTTTCAGCGTATTGTAACAGAAACATCAGCCTGGAGAAAAACCCCAGCCATACAATAATCCCCACTATAAACATCAAACGCATACGCAAGGTGTGCGGCGGCAATAAACCACCAATTCGTGGCATATCAGACTCATCTATACGGGGCCTAATCCCACGAAACACGTTGCCACCAAATAAAACATACCACAAGCAAGAAAGAGCAAAAAAACAAAACAACAACAACAACACCAAAGATGCACATAATCCTAAAAATATACAGATACATATATATTCAGCAGTGGAACAGTATTCTGCAGGTACGGGGAATAGAAGCCAGACAAATAGCAAAAGTCCAGAAACGTCATTGCTCCGGTGTATGAGGTCCAGTTGCCCCCAACGCCTTGTCACATGTTGTGCTCCTCAAATTACTTTCCCTATTCTTCTTGCCGTTAACTTTCTTGAGTGCCGTTGTATCCCTGTTTCCTCCTCTCGCGCTACCTCGGATAATGCCACTCCCGCAAGGGCATGGGAACATGCGCTATGCGTCGTCCCTCCCGACGCAAGACGGTGTCCAAGCAGACTGAATCCATTCGAGCCTTCTTCCTCGCGCTGGTGTCATCCGTCTCCAAAGTCTTTGCATCAGTTTCCCGCTCACACTGAGTATCGTCCCGCGGCAAAAAACGTTTGTACACATACGAGGACATCTCATTGTGATTGGCGTTAAATCGCAGCTTTGGAAACCACGAAGGCGGTGCTAGGCCCTTCACATGGTCATCTGTCGCATCGTTCTGGGGCCGGGAGGCACCTGTCACAACTGCATAGCTGCCACTTGTCAACCTCGCGTCTACGTCTTCGCTAGTTTCCGCAAACGCTGCACGAAAACGATACGTGCCGGTGATTGTCAACTTCTCCGCGTACTGAAGACCATGAGGAAGCACCGTGTAGTAGGGATGCGGAGAAGCAAAGGTATCCTCCTTGTTACAGCTGTCATTATCCCGAGCCTCCGTCGCGTCATTAACTCTCTTCGCTTTCCCTACTCTGCGATATGCCGCGGCAAGAAGTGCCGTCCCCGACACCGGAAGAAACACTGGCGGCAGTTCCCAGAATGTGCCCAAACTCATTCCTTTCACGCCCCTTCTTCTCACACCCTCTGGTTCTTGTCGTGACTCAGATTTCGCCAAGGAAATCTGTATCGCGTCAGCGGCCGCTGATAAGCAGTCACCGTAAAGCTCGCCTGATCTCACCGCGGCGCGGAGCGAGGAAAGCATTAGCCCACGCACTGTTGGCACCCTAGAAGCATCATCCATACCAATGGGACCACCGTTACTGCCGGATCCTGGAGGTTTCTCGGGCACACCATCAAGCCTTGCTAAACAGCGGCGCGAATGTAAAAAGAAAATCGCGGAAGTAGGGCAGAGGGCACCGCAAATACAACGCCATGGCCCCTCCTGCACTACTGTTTCAATACGAGCTGCAGTCTTTTCCTTACTGCGAAGGCAACTTGCCAGCGGTGATGATAACGACGTCGATGTTACTGTCAATGAGGGCGCCGGTGTGGGAGAGGGGGATGAGTGGAGTGTTGAATTGGGTCTTATGACTGTGTTCTCCATTGTAGACGTCTTTTCCTCGTCACAAGCACATACACACACACATACGCAGCAATAAGTAGTGCATAAACAAAGAAACTAAAAACAATTCAAAAAAAAATAATAATATACATAATGCAGGAACACACAAGTATGAAAAATATGTACATGCATATCCAACACACACCCAGATACAGAACTGTTTCCCCTCAATTCTGAAGAAGTAAGATAACAAGCACAGCAGCGACCACGAGAAGAGACGACAACATGGGTTTTCCACCCACAACACAAAACAATAGGAAAGTGCATCTCATTGAAGATCAAGCGATCGGCAAAACAATATCTGGTTCTCGTTGCTTCATCTTATATATTTCTTCTTCTAGGCCCCACCGTTGCCTGTCGCAGTTAATCCTGGTAAACAACGCCGTATAAATCTCATTACATACATTGAATGATGAAGAGGGAAGGATTAGAATACATTTGTGTTGTGCTCCGACTTTTGCAGCACGTAAAGAGCTTTACCTACCGTTTCTACAACGACATCGTGAAAGGAAAGCACATCGAGTAGGTTAAGCAAATGCTCCTTGTTCAGCTTTCGCAGTTCATCGCGGTATCTGGTGGGAAAGTTAGTGTGCATGGAATCACTCTTGTCCCGCAAAAAGGTATCCTGCGCTCCTATAGAAACAATGAGTTTGCTCAACGTATCATGGTGATCCTGAATCTCTTCCTGCACGCTTTGCACTATTTCCTGCATGGAGCGCAAGGCTGTGTCATACTTGGGGGATGCGAAGTGTTGCCGTGGCCACGTCGAGACGATGACCAAGATCCCGCTTCATTCGGTCCACATCGAGTTGGCTTGTCTGCAACACCGACTGGACCTCGGCCTTCAATGATTCACTCTCCACCTCAAAGCGTGCCAATCTGCGGTTAACCTTATCCCGGAGCCCCTGTAGCTCTACCACCTTCTCCTCCAGCTCAGTTTTCTTTTCATCCAATAAACCACGCAGAGTCCCATTTTCCACCCTAACCTCATCCACCTGCTTCTGCATTTCAGTCTGTACTTGTAACCGTAGCATGCCAATTGCCGCGTTGGGATCTTGACCAGAAGCCATCTGAATACCGTGGGCGCTCAAAACCTTAAAGGTATCATTGAGGTACTGCTGTCGGTCGTTCACAACCGCCAGCTGTGACCGAACCAAGTTCATGAGAAGTAGGTTGCAATCCGGGAAGAAGGATTCACGTAGTGTACTCTCCTCCTTCTCTAGAGCAAGGCGCTGTGCCGTCTCCAGCGCAGAAAAGGAGGCACAAGCAGGAACACCGCGTTTTCTTTCATGCTACCACGAGTCGATGGTGACCGCCCCTTTTTCTTTTTTCCTTTCACAGATTTTTTTCTGCCTCCAGAACCATTGGGCCTCCTCCCCCTGGAAGATTTACGTCCTCTCGTCGTCGACGCTCGCGAACCTGTGCGCGGGCGAGAACCACTCGCTGTTCGAGATAACTTGCCGCGCTGCTTTGAGCCCAATGATGTTGTTGTACCTTTGCTGACAGAGGAAGCACGGCTGGTGGATCTCGACATCGTTGTGGAGAGACGTTTTCGTTTTCCCCTGCCACTGCCCCTTGACACGGGTGAATGCGAACCTGTCGCCCTCCGCCCTTTCTTCAAAGATGAGCTCCGCCCGGACAACGCGGCGGCGGCTGCTGCTGCTTTCCTTGAACCTCCAGTTCGGCTCAGTTGCTTGCCGTTAATGGGCGGTAATGTGTCCTCTGTGCCGCGCCTGCTTCTTCGCTTATTCAAACCGCCGCTGTGTTTCGCTTGTGCAGAAGATGGAGTTTTTTGCTGCTTCGGCACTACGGGGGTCTCAGAGGTACTGAGCGATAGTGAACCGCTTATGAAATCCGTGGGACTCTTATCCATTGACTGGCCACGCCCAGCCAGGTCACTCCGGTGGTTGGACCACTGAGCGATGTCTCCACTGTCCTCCATCCCCTTCATGCGTATGCAATGGTGAGATAAAAGAAGAGAGTCGAGGCGCATTCCGCAACCCCCAAGAAAAGCATGAAGAACACAAGACCAAAAAAAGTAATAATAATAAAAAAAAAAGAGCAAAAAGTTATAAAAATCACAAAAAAAAAACGGGCATGCAGAAGCTGTTTTTCTTTTTTTTGTTTTGTTTTGTGTCTCATATGGTGCATTACATGACAGACAATGAGCAATTCCCCTATGCGTCAGTGCGCGTGGAAGGCCGAAAACTGCACAGCAGCGAGGGCACGCACAATGACGGTGTCCTCGCCTTCAGCTAGCAGCAGCGCACCCACTACCTCATGAGCGGCGTTATCCTCCCCCATAACAGCAGCAGCAACACCAGTGCCATGATTACTGTCACGACGAGCAAAGCCATGCTCATCGCTTCCCTTGCAAAGTGCATCCTCTACAAAAAGTTCTGCCCTCATTTTCCGTCGCACAATAGCCAATAAGAGTATGAAAAAACGCTTCAATCCATCCCTGCTATGTCGTAATCGCGATATCATCCACGGCAACCACCCTTGAAGGGTTTTATGCAGAGTAAATAGAACACAGAGTCGGATCTCCTCGTCTGTGATGTCACAGAAAGAGCCAAGCCGTTCAAGGTGTCCTTTGTGACGCTTTAGTAATCGGCGCAACGACGCGATAACCAGCGCGAGGGGCCTCAGTAAAACACGCACGTGAGGTCGTATAAAAGCTGCATTTTGCAGAAGCTTCCTTAAGAAGAAGCGGGACCAGAGGAATCCAATTTCACACAAAGTCTGCACTACGCGCGTCTTGCTGTTAATACGACGACAAAGCACCGTCAATGGTGTGCGGAGGCACAGAATACTCATCAGTCGTAGTGAGCAATGGAGCGGCTCATTGCCAGTCATTGGGTAGGATGCAATGTGTGGAAGCAGCGATGCCAAACGTCGCCACTCCACGGAAAACTCCAGTGTTCGTGGATTCCACAAGAGTCCACACCACGGAATGAGTGTGTCCGTAGTACATCGTAGCTTTTCACCTTGACAAACAAATCCTACTTCGGGCCATCCACGACGCAACGCTGCGTCGCAACGAGACGCCGCCACATGGGACAGCGTCACCACCAAGACATCGTCCACACGTCTTAAAAGCAGCGCTGGCTCCTCATGCTGAGAAAGAATGCTTGAGAGAGATTGATCCACAGTTTCAAAAATAGTGTCGCAAAGCAGCATAGCCACCGCGGAGCCCTGAGCTATCCCCACTCCTTGCAAGTAAAGCTTCCCATCAATGAGCACAAGATGTTGATGTAGATGCTGCTTTAGAATTGCCAGTATTTCATCTCCACGTAGCCTGGAATCGGACGCTGGTGTGGCTTCCTCGTACATAATCCATCCCATTGGAATACCTGGAAGCATCCCATTTTGTACGCACTCCCCAGAGACGGTCTGCGACCTCATGCACTGATACAGTAATACTTCAGCGTTTGTAGTGTCCCCTCCTGCAACTTTCAGTTGCCGCCCATGTACACTCGCCAGAGTGCCGGTTCCCGCACCATTGCTGATCCATGGAGCAATGGCCGTTAATGACACCGTGTAGTATGAGTCATGATTAACAAGGCGTTCGACAGCATGCATCACCACTTCCTGTGGAAGATAATCATAGCATCTCGCCGCATCCCCGCGCAACATTGCCACCATTGGACTGCCACTTGATGGTGCAGTAGAAGATACCGGGCTGGATACGAGCTTCGGACGCTGGCAGAAGTGTCGTGCCCCCTCGACAAAAGAACGTATTTCAGCGTATTCATCTTGATGGGAAATATTTGTACTTTTCACCAGCGACGATCCGACGCGATGCTCCGCGACACCGACAAGCAGGCAACGTAGTGCCCCCCGTAACAATGAGACATGGGGAGAAGCACTACTATTGCGCGCGCTCCTGGTCGTGGGTGCCGCCACCCTTCCAGGCATTGTGCGGGTAACTGCCCTTCTTGGTACAGACAACCCATCTGCCATTCTTAGCAGCCTGCGCACGTTGACGAGGCGAGCCCGTGCAATAGGGCGCAGCTTACGTTGGTCCACGAGAAATCTAACAGATGAATACAACACCGGAGGTGCGACACAAGCGGTGTTCTTTTCATATGCCAGCTTGGATGCCAGAAGGCTGTCTGCGGTCACACGCTCCAGCGCCATCGACTGTTTGGTCCCAGCAGCGTTTCTCTCCCGTTTCTCTCGACTGCGGCGTGAAAGGCAGACTTGTCGCAGTTCATAGCCAACTAGGCGGCACCACACCGGCTTCGGTATGAAGAGAAACGCGTTGGGCTTTTTAGAAGACCACGTCACATGAAACGAACGCCGCACCAAAAACGGCACCACATGCTGAAAAATAAAAAAAATCAATTGAAGAAATACCCGCTGCTGAATCATGGACCGTCGTTTGCGTCCAACACCTCGGGTATAGAAGCCACGTAGCCATGGAAGCTTTGCAACAGGTACCTCGTGTAGAAAGTGACCAAGTGGAAATGTTTCTTGTCTTCCACACTGCAGCCAACTTAAGGTGATGGCGCACAGTCTTTCCAGCACTGGTGCTTCCCCCCAAAAGCTCACCCGTTCCTTGCCCTGAGGTGCACGCCACCAAAGACCCTCCAGTAGACTTCGAAGATATGAGGTCACAATAGACTCCGGCACTGTGAGTTCCGATACTGGAACGGCCGCCGCCGCCGCCGCCGCTTGCGCACGGGAACGGCAGCGATGGAAAGGGAGACTGCGCTCTTCCAGAAACCCGGCATGCTTAATTGCCGCCCCGCGAAAGTTCATCCGACACACACCGCCCAACAAACAATGAAGCACGTGTGTGAGATGCCGTTCCACAGATTCCATGCGGACTGTGTTGTCACCATTCCCATTGACAGCGAATGTGTAGGGGAACACCAAGTGGACTAATTCTTTTGACGTTGTCCAAACTCTGCACGCCTCTGCACATGACACCGGGTCACCCCCTATAGTAACTGAACAACGGCATGCTGCAGTAGAATCTATATCTCCGTGATGCTTCTGCCATAATTCTGCAAGTCTAGGATTCACCCCGTGGTCGATTTCGGCAAAGGTGCGAAGAGGCAGTTCCCCAATCAACGGAAGACGTGAGACATTCAAGCGATATAGTGACACTGCCAACGATGAGATCGAGGCCGCTTGCGTGGTACGAGGTTGAGTATTTTTCTCGTAACATCCCCTCTTGCGGAATCCCATGCATCCCAAGCTTCTCTGCCGCTTTGCCGCCCGTGGCACGGCATTCTTCAGCGGAGGACCCAAAGCCTGCAATCCCCCACCACTCGGTTCAAACTGTACCACAAGCGGACACCATGATGTAATGAAACTGACAACTGCAGGCCCCAGCTGTGCAAAGAGGGAGTCCCAAAACGGACACCGCAGCAGCGACGACGTCAGTGGCCTTCCATGCGGTATCTGCGATGCCATTCGCGGTAAGAAGTCCCGCCCTATAGGCAAAAGTTCGCCCACCCCTGATGCTACCGACATTCCACTGAGTGGCGGCGGTGGTGGAGCGCCCAAAGAGACGTACACCACCACTGCGAAGCCTCCCGTTGGGGGTACAAATAGAATCCGCTCATAGGTACACGATACAAAGCACGCCGGTGAAGACGCCTCAAACCGCAGCTGTACAAAAAAGTATCGCAGCAGAAAGTCCTTCAGTGACCAGGGACCGCCATAACCGGGAATAGTAGGAAACATGGAGGACATGCACCTCTCTTCCACTCCACTCCACGCTTAGCCCCTTCCCTTCCTTGAGAAAGTGTGTAAAGTACCACCCTCCACCCCTCTCTCTCACGCCGCCTAGCGACTGTCTCCTGCTTTCTTGCTCCCTGTTGTTCTGCTGTTGTTTGCTGCTGTTGTTATTTCATCCACCGTGAACCAAACAACAGGACCCGACCACGCACGCACGGCAGTACCGCAACTACAACACGAGTAGAACTACCAACCACGACAACAATAATACCAACGATGTGTGCGGGATGGGTTCCTGCTTAAGTCATCGTCTCACTCCCCGCCAACTGGGAGGAAAAGCCAACACAACCAAAATTTAAAAAAAAACGCAAAAACAAAATAAGAAGAATAAAAAGAAAAAAAATAGAGAAATTGGAAAGTTATATGCAAAGCAGAACGAACATCAGTGAAGGCACCCTTGTCATAACAGAAAGGCAGCTGAGAAGGAAGGAAAACGGCAATGACTTCCATGTGGTCTGCAAGCACCAACAATGGGCCCCATCCTTTGTAGATGGGCACTTACACGCCCACACACACAGGCAACTCGACTGCACACCGTAGAGCAGAAACAAAACAAAAACAGTTAGACGCGGCCAGAATTATATGCCTCATGGGAGAGGCTGAAAGAGGGGGAAAAGGCCAACTAGTGTTCGTTCCGGCTTGGCTCACCGCTCAATATCACTGCAGTCTAAAAGTAATAACATCAGCAAGTAGAGCCCTGCGGAGTACGCCACAAACCTCCACCCGCAGTCGTCTCCTATTGACGCTGCGGACGGGTGCACGCCGAACCCCTCTCCCTCATAGATGGAGCCCTTCATGATGGGGCACCTTGCAGCCATCGTCCGGTGCAAAGGCGGCCCTGCCACAGTCACCCGGTTCAACCCATTCGTGAACTCATCACATGCGGCAAAAATTCACAACAAAAAAGAAAAGCCACTGAAAAAAAAATTGGAAGTGTACCCCCCTCCCCTCCCCCACCTCCCCACCACACACACACAAGCAAACGAACAAGATATATATATGTATTCACCTCCAACACACCTCACACAGCAAAACTTCACTGAGCACGCCAGGCGAATGCAGAAAAAGAAAAAAAGCGGCACCGCGAAAACAAACATAAAAACTCAGAGCAAAAAAGGCATGTACTCAAACAACTCGGATGCAGCCTCGCAACATCTCTTCAATGGAGCTGAGTTGTAAAACACCACCCCACCCACGTGATGATGCCGTCGCGAAACGCACATCCAGGTTGAACCGGGCAGCGGCATCCACACCTCCGTCACTGCAGAAGGTAAAAGCATGTCTGAGGAAAAAACATTGCCACCCTCTAACGCCCTGCTGAATCTCCCATGATGAGAATTGGCACAAGCAACGTCGCAGCTTCCATTCACCCCCTCCAGTTTGGTGGATACGCCTGACGTAAGCCTCCGTAGCATGCTTGAGAGCAGTACCTGCAGAGCACGGGGATACTCACGCATTGAGGTTCCGACAATCATTTCATTGTGCCAAACGGTCCACTGCAACGTCAAATTCATTTCACGCAGCCTTGGTAAGTGTGATACTGGAGCAAAAAAACCAGCGCCGCTACTATGAGAAGGGTTTAGCAAGCTCATTGCCATCTGGTGCACCTCATGTGGGCGTACAAGGCCCTCACGGGACAAGGGACACCTTTCAGTCGTCAAGAATTCCGCGATATCCGCCGCAAGTGGCTTGCATATCTCCAAAATGATCTGATGCATCGAACGGTAAAGGCTGGTGTTAACAAAAATGGCAACAATGATGCCTGACGAATGACATATATAACAGTGCGAGCGACCACTTTCCAAAAAGGCTGCAAAATCTGTCACATCCGGGTCCACCAACAGCAAGCAGATAAGCTTCGACACAACGGCAGGTGTTGCATTGGAAGCGATTACTTTCAACGTCTCACCCACAAATATGACGTACTGACAACAGGTCCAAAGAAGACGTTCTGTAGTATCTTGCGTTAGTGTCGCAGCGCTGCTGGTGAAAGCCACGCCCTTGTACTCTTCTCCCCAGCCAACCGTGCACGATGCTTGATCACTAAAACACCCATCGAAATGGTTCCTGTTATAGCTATTACCGTTATTGTTTCTACTACAGCCTGCGCATGGGCCAGAAACTCCTTTAGGCAAGAGAAATGACAGATAACGATACACTAAACTATGACACATAGACTGTGCTGCAATGGATGCTGGACGCATAAAAACGGGGAAAGCCAGCAGACTCTCCGTCACCGATAACACGGCCCACCAATGCTTCCACCGTTGCATGTGAGATCGTTCTTGTCCCACGGCCGCCCCTGATGCTGCAACTGACGCGGCGGATGAAGGCCTCGCGTTTCTCGCCATCCGGACGGCGTCACACACGTCAGTTAGTAAAACACTGGTTTCCAGAAAGACAGCAAACTTCTCAAAAAAACGTTTCAGCACCCTACGTGGCTCAGCAACATCAACTGACCCACCAACGGGGGAGACTAGTGCGGCAACAGTTGACCAACCATACCGCAGCACAAAAACCTCAAAGCCGCGCCGAACCACGGGCAGCAGAGCAGAGCTGTCATAGGCCGGCATTGTCTCAACAGCAATCCATAAATTAGGAAAAGGACAGCAAAGCACAGTAGTTCCGTGACTGGTTTGAATCCTGTCAAGAAGTCCCGTTGCTCCAAATCGCTCTACCAGACATGTTGCGCCAATACAAAAGCCAACATGGTTCATCTGTGCATTTTCGTGAAGGTGTAAAGGATAAAAAAAAAGAATGTTGTCCATCGCCCGCTCCTCCTCCCCCCCAGAGAGAGTAGGACAGTAAACACAGAGGCTCTTCAGACATGTGCCCCCACCCCGCTTCTCAGCACATGAGGTTGAGGCCCACCAAGAAGAGGACATCTCACCTTCGTCTTTTCTTCTTCTTGGGGGAGCGAGGGAAGGGGGTTTCTACGCCTCTCCTTACAGCCTTCCTCAGTCACCTACACAAAGAATCACACAAAACACCCTCACTCTTTCTCCTCCGGCTTGGAATAAAATCAACAAGAAGAAATAATACTAAAAAAAAAAAAAACAGAAAGAATAAAAAGGGCACAATACAAATTTTGTCATTTATTAGACAGATAAAGCGCAATCGCAACAATTGGCGCTGGAGAAAGCCTCATGTAGATTGACATATATGTGTATACGTTTTTTTTTTTTCATCCTGTTCTTTTCCAATCGCAAGGGTCACTTTTCCCTTCCTCCCGCAGCAACATCAAACTCCTTCCATGCCTCCATCAGTCGATCAACATCGCCATGCACGGCCTCCCGCAACTTGGAGGGACCACATTGTAACACACGCTCCACGCCACGTCGCAGCTCCACTCGAGCGGCCGGATGAGCATCCTGTGGATTGCTAGGTCGTGGCATGTATGCTTCCTCCGGCACCTTTGCAAACACGGGAGGCGGTGGTGGTGGAATACGTGAGGCGCAAAGCTCCACAACCGCGCGGAACGCCAGTGGCTCATACTGAGCAAGCATCTGTTGTGAGCGGGGAAGCAGCAATATGTTTTGCCGCCCCAACTCATTCCGCAGCTGCGGCCATCCGGTGCCATGCTCATGGGCCGCGCTGTCGACATTCTTTCTCACGATTGCACGATTCCAGTGCGACTGCTGTTCTACACGGTACCGGGTTTGTGTGCGCATAAGAAAAAACAAACGCTTTAGCCCAACTTTCCGTTCTAAGCGGGCCCGGCCGCGGAGCATGCTCCGGATGCGATCCAGCTCCAGCGAGGCTCTGTAGTGACACACAAGAGGGGTACGACGAAGCATGTTGAGCCAAACAAAACACCACTGCGATGCCCCACACCTTCGCGTGAGAAATAATGTCCGTATGAACCCTCGTTGTTTCCCTGTCCGTTTGCGTAAGTGGGCCCCGGAGAGACGCCGCCGCAAATGCCTAACAATCAGTGCTTTCCCTTCTCCTCCTAACTATTTCCCTCCTCCTTTCCTCCAAAACGCTTCTTCTTGCGGTTTCCTCCCCCTCCCCCTCCACTTAGCCGCAAAAAGAGGCCTCGCAAGAAAAAAAAAAAGAGACTCTCATATACACAATGGGCACCCAACACAAAATGACGAGTATTTGCAGGTCCGGTGATTCCAAAGTCTTGGGCCGTCGAGGTAAAACAATACACATAGAAGAACAAAGAAAGAAGAAAAAGACAACAAAAAAAAACCGCATAAATCAAGCGATAATTGTTGGCTTCTATTATCTCCCCATCTTTTTTTCTTTCGCTTCTCCAGTGAAGAAAAACAAAAACAAAACAAAAAAAAAGGCGGAGCAGAGATGGAAAAGGAAGACATCCATACAAGTATGCAAATGGGTAAAGCGCCGCTCTCCCCACCCACACCACCGTGTCGTATCTTAAGCCTCCTCCTGGTCCTGGATGTTGAAGTACTTCAGCTGGTAGGTGTCCTTGCCCCGGGCGAGGATGCGGATCCAGTCACGGAGGTCCTTCTTCTTGAGGAACTTCTTCGTGAGGTACTTGAAGTACTTCTTGCGGTAGGCCATAGTCGTCGAAATCGTAAGGACGTTGTTGCGCAGACCAACACGCACCTTCTCCGTCAACTTCCCCTTGCGACCATTCAGCTTCACGTTGTCTTGGAAGTACTGCTCGAAGTTGCTGAGAATCTCCTCGCTGAAGATGCCGTCGTTGGCGGGAATGGTGCAGTCAATCCTGAACACCTTCTTCCCCTTCGCCAGCTGCTTCTGGCGGATGAAACCGCGGGAGCCGACCTTTGCACGAACTGCCACCATACTTGCTATTCCCTTCCAGGTATTGTGTATGGGCGTGCGCGACTGAGCTCGTCTCTTCGCCTCTCTCTTTGCTCCACCTGCCAAATAAAAAAAAAGGAGAGCATACCGTACAAATATATTAACTGAAAACAGGTGTTGCGAGAAACCCACCACCACAAATAATAATAATAAGAGGTGGCGGTAACCAACACATGACAGAGATACAAGCATATATAATGTGTGCGTCATATTCGCAATGAATATGCCCATATATTTCTCTCTGGCGAACGAAAGGCATGGCACAGAACAGAACAGAAAAAATAATCATCATCATAGTAGTAGGATCGCTACCTGTGTGTTTTTTTCTTTGATCTCAGCTTCTGATTTTCGTTCACTACAACTGCTCTCCCCAATCACCACATTGATACGCAACATTGCAGGTCTTGCCTTTCCCAACAACTGAATCCCGCTTCGGGGTTCACCCTAACCCCGTTTGTATGGTTATGCACTCTCGTCTTCATCCGTATGCGCAACAGGTTCCTCCTCGCTCATGTGTGCACTACCCACCTCTTCCACATCCTCGGTCGCCATTCCTTCCACCTCTGATGCATTACCATCATCGTCACCGGAAGCCACACTA